TTCTTAGCACATTTTTAGTTATGAACCAAAGCATACACAAATCCATATGCATTCATTGCCTTTCACACAGTGGTCTGCTACAGCTACAGTATATCGCTTTCAATTCGCTTCAGTTGTATTTATATAGCACCAAATCACAACAACAGTTGCCTCGAGCTGCTTTATATTATGAGGTAAAGACCCTACAGTAGAAAACCCCTATGAGCAAGCGCTTTGGCAATAGTGGGAAGGAAAAACTCCCTTTTAAATGGAAGAAACCTCTGGCAGAACTGGGCTCAGGGAGAAGCAGCAATTAGCCTCGACCAGCCTGGTGTGAGGGAAAGAAGACAGGACTAAAGATACACTGTGAAAGAGAGCCAGATAATAATGATAATAACTAATGTTTAAATGCAGAGTGGTGTATAAACGTAAGTGAAAGAAGGTGAGTAAAGAAGAAATGCTCAGAATCATATGAAACCCTCAGAAGCCTAGACTTAATGCAACATACACAAGGGAAGATTTAGGGTCACCTGATCCAGCCATGACTAATGCTGTGTCAGAAAAGAAAGTTTTAAGACCAATCTTAAAAGAACAGAGGGGTTTGTCTAAAAGACACATTGATGATTCAGTGCGTCTTGGCTTGTATTATGTGTGCATGTCTTAGTATTATTGTAAGGTTTTTGAATTATTGTAGGATCTTTACCTTATAACAAAAAGGAGCTTAAGGTAACTGTTGTTGTAATTTTGTGCTATATAAATAAAATAAATATGAATCGAATTCATATGACAGTTTGGCAGTCAGAAATCATGCTCCTCTTCTACTAGTAGAGCTGTGCATGTTTTTAATTGGTCATACACTGTCAATGACACCCTTATCATGAGAACATACTTGTAGCTCAGTTTGGAAATCCTCGGCTGACTTATCACGGGGATAGCTATGTTTATGTGACTGCTTAGTAGGATTACTGATGCTATGGTAAGAGAAGTTAGATAAGGAAAAGCCTGATCTAAATTTACTTTGGACTACAGTTCCCAGGGCTAAATAAAACAAATAAACAAACAAATTCAAAAACCCTATGAAGTGCAGCTACTCCAGCAAAACAAAGTGAAATACTGAAAAAATACTGAAAACAACAGAAAAACAAATTAAGATCCCAACAGAGAAAGCTAATAATGCAGGAGATGAGTAAATCTCTGATCTCAGATGAGCGAAATAAAGTAAACAGAAAGCTATGAAGCATGAGCCTATGCAGGAAATTAAACAGCTAAAGAACCCTTTAAAAAAGATTATTCTGCTAGATATGATAACCTTATGTGATATGATGCGTGCTTAACACCAAACTTATGCAACTACTAAAGCTAGAGACTGAGAGGATCTGTGACCTAGAAGCTACAAATACTAGAATAGCAAATGGTAAAAGGACTGGTTCCTATATAGTGCTTTTCTCTGACCACTCAAAACACTTTACACAACTTGCCTCGTTCATCCATTCACACCAGCACTTTTTTCTATGCTCTTTCTATGTAAGTGCTTTCTATCTAAGATTCACACACATTTATACTCCAATGGATGCATCGCAGAGGCTTAGTATCTTGCCCTGTTTGGCATGCAGACTGGATCAGACGGGGACAGAACCACCAAACCTCCAATTAATAGATGACTTGGCTGTTTGTCTTAACATCTTGGAATACTTTCATCAAAAAAGGAATACTTTCATCTGAAAATGTGGATCTATGTGGATTGTATAGACAGGAAAAAAACAAAAAACAAACAAATCTTGTCTGGTCTGGTGTCTATTGATTTCTGCAACATTTGGATCATGCAGTGAGAATCTAGTGTAAACGACTTGGAAACATGGATGTACCTTGCTTTGTATCAATGGTTTGAGATGCTGGTGGTATAATTCCGATTATTCAGAAACGGAAGAAATATAAAATGACATCAATCACCCTCATTTTGAAGCTCCAGGGAGATTTTGCCTCATGGGGTGAGGATGAAGGTGGCACATCAACCCAAAACTACACAGGATGGCAGTTGGGATCACAGTCACCAAGAACACCATTGGTAACATCTCTGAACATCAAAATGATTCAAAGAAGGCTTGGGAGAAAATGGGGCTTTTCAGCATCAACTCAACCTGTTTGGAGGAAGAGAAATGCTGAGCATGGCCCAAGGAACATCATCCTCACAGTCAAGATTAACATAAATCAGTTTACAGCTTTTATGTAATGTGGTGTTTTTGTGTTGTTGATATTTTGTCTCTGTCCATAAAAAAAATATAATTCCTTTGAAAGTGAGCAACCTTACAAATTCAGCAGATGATCAAATAATTATTACCCCAGCGTATCTGTAAAGTCATATGACACAGAACACCAGAAACCATCACTGCCCATAAGACAGATCTAATGAAATAAACCTGTAACCTGTTTATATTAATGATGAGCCTATGGGGCTTTGTTGTCCTCATTAACAATGTCTCAAGATTAAAAAAAAAAAAAAAGAGGAAAAAATCTGTCCAGTAAGAAAACTCAGAAGGAAACAGTCATGTGTGGAAAAGTCATGGATCACAATTGAAAAGAGGATATATGTAAAAAGAAAAATGTACTTTATAAGGTTCTAAAACAGAACTAAAGTAACAGTGGCAGGATCAGGTAACCCTGCATTCTCCTTTATTTGCGCTGCAATAGGCACAGGCTGCTAGGGATTTCCCATGATGCACGTAGTGTTTCTTCCTCCAAACACCAAGGATTTTGGACCCTAAACTGTATATTGCTCTGGAAAAGGTTCAAATGGTTTCTAAATGCAGTGGAACGGGAATTGAATGGTTTGATGTAAATCAAATATCACTACATTACAGCAAAATAAAGTAACAGGGAAATAAAAAAATAAAGTCAAAATTATGATGAATGATATTCAGAGTATGAAACCAAATTTCTGTGTGTTAATTGAATATATATTATGTTGGAAGGCTCAATGTAAACAGGTGTAAAAGCAAAAATGTCCAAAACCATATCATATAAAACTAAAGAGATGTTTGATCTAAATAGTTATTTATATATACAATGTTGGTCCCTAGTCCCATATATAACCTACTCTGTGGCATTATAGAGAAACAGAATTACAAAATTAACAAGAAACTAACAAACATAAAACCCCCACAAATACAGCTTAAATGGTACAGAGGAAATTTACAACAATTATAAATGGACTGGATTATTATGAGCCCACCGTCTTGCTACAAAACTTAAACTTACTTGTCTTCAACATTGCACTGGTAATGTACAAAGAAAAACAATCTTCTTTCAAACTTAAAGTATAATTATCATTGTTCATGAAAAATTAGTTTTGTCTTTTTTTTCTTTTTTTTGGTCATGTCTGCTGGTAAAGTTTAGAACTGTCTGAAACTGCTGACATTTGCAATATGTTGTATATAAAAAGGGTAGGTTTAATAAGCTATAGTAAGGTGTATTAAGGTGAACTCAGCCCTTACCTTTTCTATCAGTAATTCTATATATGCAAACTCTGTACATATAAAGCTTTGAGAGTTTGCTATAAAAATTAGACTCACTTTAAACGTGATCAATTTTAGCTCAGAGTATCTTTTTGAAAACCCTTAAAATGTGTTCTTCCAACAGGGACTTATGAGTTCTGGTGGCTTAAACAGCAATAATTTATGTTGGATTTCTTCTTGAGCCCCAAGGCCACCGGGGAGCAAAGGGGATGAACTGCAGTTTAACCCTCCGTCAGGTCTTTTATGCAGATATCGACCTGTGTGGTATCCACAGAAACCTCAGAATCTCAGCTAAAAGCTCATATAAACCATTTCTACAACGACCAAACGCTAAAGAGCAGTTACATAATTTCGCAAAAGTTCACTAAACACAAACAATGGAGGTAAGAACTCACTCGACTTCGTGTAACCGGATAGACATTGCCTAGTTAGCAACCAGAGATCTCACAGATTCGAAATCTGCAAGTTTCACCACGCTCCGACCAAAGTTCATTGAACCAGTGGCAAAGAAGACCACAAATATGCATAACTTTCCATATGTGCTAAAGCAGAAAGCCGTTTAGCTGAGCGTTTTCCTGCGCTGTTCCCCACCAATAGCCGATAGCTGTAGAAACTGATAATGGCGGTGCTAACACAATGCATCAGAGCCACATCAACAATCCCCATTTTCAGCCAAGTTACAGTCACATTATTGGATTGTGTCTTACTTTTAGGGTCATGTGGAGTTTTCGACTTGCAACTTCTGATTGGAACTGATGTGAACATGGCATAATTACAGTGATTCTATTGGCTCAAACTATTAAAAAGAGGTGTCAATCATGCAAATCGCCAATAGAAGCTGAAGTTACAGCCCCTCAGAATTTAAGGCACCAAAACCTATTTAAACTGTCTATGGCGCACGGCAGAATAGGCCGTTGGATGTGAGTGTGTGGGTAATTCTTCAAAAATATTCAAAAAACAAGCATTTTTAGACATGCAATTGAGTTTAAATAGTGTCTGCTGTTCAATACCTCAAAATTTTAAATTCACACGTGGTGTCAGAGTGTGCCAAAATTGGACAAACTAGACAACGTCTGAACATTTATTTATTTATTAAAAGCGCAAAAATTTTTCACTGTTTCACTTCAGAAGCATAAATCTTTGCACTTTTCATATGTTGATTACTGGTTTTATGAATTTAAATGTGAACCAAAGTATATTTTCAAAGTGGTTATATGCTAAAAAAAATAACAAATAACTTGAGGAAAAAAATCTACTTACTTTTTCTGTGTTCCAGCCTCAGTAACTTTGACACAGTAACATCCGTTGTAGTATTTACACCTCTGATGAAATCTCACAAATGTTAACTTTGTTTTGATACCAAGATTGTTTACACAGAGTTTGTAATTGCAGAGAAACACTCCACTCATTTTGGGCATGTCTTTTTTGAGCAGGAAGCTCAGAAAGCCCCTGGTGGCTTAACTGGTTATTAACTGATCTTTTGTTGCTTCTTCTCTCCCTTTCTTTCAGAGTCTGTAGCTCTCTGCTCAGGGACAGTCTTCTGCAGCCCTTCTGTGATCACAGGCCTACCTGGCATTTCTCATCCATATCCTTCTTCTTTCCATTCACCCATCTTTCCCCGTTATGAAAGGCCTGTCCAGTAGCCGGGGTCACCATCATGTGGTCTCCTATGAACCATCATATGATCCACTGGGTCACCATGTTGACCGCAAGCCATATTTGATCAGTCAGATGGACATGCCTGTGCCCATTCCCATGCCACATCCAGCTGAGCTGCCCTACTACAATGCTCAGCGTACCTCATACCCCTCTGACAGCAACAGCATCGTCCCATATGGAACCTTCCCCAGGAGGTGCCACTCTACCTCCTCATCTCACCATCCTGAGGTAAAGGATGAGTGTATGGCCATGGTACCATATGTAGGAGGAGGAGGAGGAGGTGGTGGTGGAGGAGGAGGAGGTGGAGGAGGCTATGGGGGTAAAACACCCACTCGGGTACCAGCAAACTTTGTGGACCCGTTTGAACGTCAGCCATCATTTTCCAGAGATGGCTACCATACATTGCAATACAAACGAGGGGTGCAGGCCCACAGTGGGGGGATGGGGGCCAACAACAACAATGACAGTCCAGGGAGAATTCGCCATCTTGTCCACTCAGTCCAGAAACTCTTCACCAAGTCACATTCATTGGAAGGGCCACACCACACACAGTCCTCCAAGGGGGCCAATAATGGGAGTGTTAATGGTGGTGGTGGTGGCGGTGGAGGAGGTGGTGGTGGTGGCTCGAGGGCCAGCCCAGAAGGTGAAACTCCACCAGTGGGAGTGCGCCATCGGAAACGCAGTAAGAGCCGTGAGCGCTGTAGATCAGCAGAGCCCAAGCATCGAAGCCACCACCACCACCACCACCAGCTCCACGGCTCAGCATCTGCTCCAGGCTCTGGATACTGGAGCTCAGATGACAACCTGGAACGGGAGCTGTGTCTCTACCACCCTCACCACCACCAACCTCCACCCTCACCCTCCCCCTCCATTTCCCCCTCGCCTATTGCCATGACAATAAGCCGGTATCCCGGCAACAACCCAGACAAGTTCCCCCAGACTCCCCTCCCCAGTCTCTCCTCCTCGCAGTCCCAGCAGTACTTCATGATGGACCCTTACGGCACACTAAACGAGCACACACACACCCACGCACACCATGGCCACACACACCACCATTCTGCACTCAAAGCCTCCTGGAGCAACAACGATGTGAAGTATGCAGCGTCGACAGCATGTGTGCCAATTAGTGGTAGCAGCAATAACAGCGGTGGCGGTATCGGTGGAGGAAGTGGCTCCTTGCTTCCAGTGGGTCTTGTGGACGGGCCCCTTGTGAAGAAAGGGCCATGGTCATCAAGCCTAACGGTGAGCAGGGCCCGAGAGGTCTACACCAACAACAGCAGCCACAACCAGCCACGAGCCAGCGCAGGATCCGGTAACCTAAACCTAGATAGAGCTCTAGTCAAATCTAAGGGCAGTCAGCAGCAGGAGCGCGCTTGCCATTTCTTACAGGTAAATAATTCCTCCCCAACCCCCATTCAAATCCAGTCAATTCACCTTCTCCCCCCTCTGTTGATTCCCTTTTCTCCACAACTTACTTTTTTCCATCAATGCTTCCTCTAAGTCAGTGGTGTCCAGTCCTACAGTTCCAGGTAGACAAGGGCAAACCAAGTGGAGTCCATAAGTTTGTTTTTAGTTTAGCAGATATGTGACAGGTTTTTGCTCTATCAATGCCAAAACAACTGGGCACTTGACAGCCCTTTTGAGAAAAATCACTACAAAGACTTCATGAACTCTTAAAAGATTAACACACAAGTCATAAACACTTCTCTTAGATAGCTAACTTAATAATAAATAATGTAATTAATTATCATAATATGTGCTCTGTCAATCAGGCACTGTATGACTGATTATTTGTATTCAAAAGTGGGAGAGCAGTAGAGTGATCAAAGACTGAAACTAACTTAAATAAACTGGAAAATAGATTTAATGACAGATATTTCTGGACAGTTTAAGAATGCTCCTACCATGGGAAACCCAGTCATCACAAAATGATGAATAGACGGCAGTGATGGAGGACTTCAGCAAGGGCCTTTCATGCAGGTTAGCTGAAAGAAACATGACCCAGGATGAAATATGTTTCAGTTTAGGAGACAGGGTTTAGTAAGCGATTGCTTAGGTGCTTTGAGAGTTTGTATGTTCCTATGTTGTTTGGTGTTCTGTTGGAGTGAAAACTGCAGATTTACATGACTGGAAAGTACTACTGAATATCACTGACTATAACTGATGGCACACTAGAATAATGAAGGCTTCGCCACATTCATCAGTTTACAACTCTGAGAACCTTTTGACAATGTAAAAAAATATCATATTTATACCACTTATACTATTATATTTAGATAACCCTGGTATTTTCTTCTTTTAAATCAATGACTTAAATACAAATAATTAAATCATTTTATTGAATTAAAACTGATTTCTTACAAATACGATTAGGTGTTTTAGAACATATTATTTGTAAATTGAGAAATCTGACTTCATGAGTGTTTGCACAGAAATGCAAGTAGTGGTGATAACTGCATCGTCATACTGATAAGTTCAGGACACATAAGAGCTATAGTTACTTGCTTCTTTCACATTGAAAGCAATAACAAGTGGAAGCTAGAAACCCCCCCTAAAAGCTACACCAAACACCACCCATTTACATGCTGGGCTTTAAAAGTAAATAAACAAGCAAACCAATGAAAAAGCAACAAGGATTTCAAAATCAGACTGAAAACTGTGAAGATCTACTGCTAAAAAGACAAAAAGTACTCTGGCATTGATGTTTATTTTTTGTCCCAACCAATATTCTATCAAACATGTGTTGCAGACCGGGACAGCAATATACAACATAACACTTTAGAAAGTTTACTTCAGGAAAATGTTCATTAAAAGAAAATCAAAAGAGCACACATGCGTATGTGAGTATTGGGAAGATAGGGAACACCACCAAAGACAAATCAACCGCAGGTCACTGCTTTAGTACTTCATTAGCAGTCTTAATTTGGGTTTGGGCCTGGTTATCTTTGCACATAATAGGAGCACTTAAAAACAACATTAAGAAAAACCCCACACTCACTAGTAACAGTGCAGTATGTACTCAGAGTCAGGTGATATGGATTTGTTCTAGTGTGTCCAGACCCTTAGAGGGAACATTACTCCCTACCACCAGTCTACTACTCTTGTCTCCCAAGAACCCCACTGCCACCTACTCCTCTTCTCTACCACTTCCCTCTCTGCCTTTCCTCCACTCACCCAACCCACTCCCACGCTTCCACCTACCTTCTTGCCACCCACCAACCCACCTCTACTTCCTTTACTTCCTCTTGGTTTGGAGAGCCTCCCTCTTCCTTCTCCTCTTCCTCCTCTATCCTCCTTTTGCGTTGAAGAGAGAAGTAAGTGCAGAGCCAATAGCAGCCTTACTCTCTGAATGCTAGGTAATGACATGAACTCATGAAGAACAACATCCTTTCCTGTTTGTAGAGTTCATTTTTAATTTAGTAGTGTTTCCCTTCCTGCCTCGCTACCAGTTACCCTGACTTTCTCAATATTTTTTGTTGGATGAATAAATTAATTTTGCTGTTATTTGAAGTGTCGTGTTAAACTAAGTGTTGGGGAGGTATTTAACGCCACACAGGGAGTAGAAGTGTCTGGCAGTTACCTAATGGTGCTGCAAGAAAATGTTTTAATGTAATTACTTGATATATACAGTACATTCTAAAAAAAAACCATATGTAGCAGGATTTGTGCTGCTGGAAAATCTGACACCATCCAAGAAGCACTTGGTTTGGTGCAATTTTCACTTTCTATTATTTGCATCGAATATACGATCATATTTCCGATCATTTTTACTATACTAGTTGTGTACTCAGATTTCTTGGTGGCAGTCATTCTCCAAAGTGTATGAACTGGGATATTCAAGTGATAAACAAACATAGCATTCAGTGTACCTGTCTACAGACACGTCTACATCAAAGACCCACAATGGCCAGAGAACAATGTTGCAGATGACTTTTCTATATGCTGTTCAGTGTCAAGTTGGATATCATTAGCTATTTGCGCCTTCATTTCATTTCATGTTGAAGAGCAGAACAAATGACATCTTATGGCAGGATGAAGACATCAGAAACAGACAAAAGATGATCTAACCACAACACAAGCCTAGTCATTAATTAATCGTGTTGCTGCATGACTGGGACCTCCAAAGTTGTGATCGTAAGCATAACGTGCACATCAAAATCTTAGTTAACCATTCAGCAATCTTTTTTGAAGCATTCAAATACTCACAGCCCACAGCTTATAGTGTACGCCACGAGTTTTTAAAAATTTGGCTTAAGGACATGTTACATATGAATATTGCTAACAAAAAGCTTGAGAAGCAAACTATGATAACTGAATAGTCTTGATGCATGCTCAATCATCCAGGTAAGTAAATCTCCAAAAGTTGATTCTGTTCATCTGGACGTAGCGTTTTGTGGGAGAGACGTACAAGCTTTAGGCAGTCCTTGCCAAAGTGGGTTAAAACATCTAAAACGTCTTTGGCCAACCCACTTTTAGTCATTGTGCAAATGTACAGTTTATAAGGTTGGAAACCTGCAGTCAGCTGAGACTGAAGAAGTCACCTGGATGAGTGACGAAATGTTTCTCCCAGTGAAAACGCTACGTCCAGATGAACAGAATCAACTATTTGGGATTTCCTTACTTGGATGGTTGAGCATGCAAGGCATTTCATACCTGGCATTAAAACACTGGACACAGTGTCCACCAGTGTTAACAGAAATATGTCTATTACAATTTCCATCTGCACAGACTAAATGTCAGAGTGCAACATGAGTTGAATTTAGCTACCCGGCATATGGCTAAGTAAATTTAGGGTTAGGCTAACCCTAACCATAGACATTGTTTGACAACGAAAAATCTAAAATGTTGATGTGATTGGCACTGGGCTGCTTTTTGTAATTCAAAGGGACAGAGATGAGTGACCTGTAAAACCTCAGGTGACTGTGTTATGCCTGTCTCAGTAATTCCCTCTCAACATCAGTAAAAGGTCTGACTGCCACTGCTTAATATGAAAAATAAGGTATGCAGAAGTAGACCCACTTCAAAGTTCCACTGTGTAACTGATAGTTAGTTAAATAACCTCCCCAGTACCTGCTTGTGTTTATGTGTTATTCTGTTTTGCAATGTGGTATAATCTGCAAGTGTGTTTGTGTGTGTGTGTGTTGATGCAAGCTCTTTGTGAGCATTCACGCTGCTAAATACAATACTAAACCCCACAATCACAAACTTTATTTTTAGAGCTTTCTAGATTTGTAATCCTTTGTGAGGTTGCCCATTACCTTTTCAAGAAACCAGTGAATAATTCCTGGCAACACAATGTATCTTAGTTCTCTAGAGGAACAATCGTGACCCAAGCTGAGGAGACAAATGTGGAGACAAATCACCGTTTTAAAACCATTATGCAAAGATAGAGGTCAGCTCATAGCCAAACCCACTGTGGACACATGCCATTCATTTCTGGTTAATCAACTTGAAGATTAGTAGTAAAGAAAATACTGAAACATCAGTAGGCTAAACAGGTGCATTTTGAAGTATTTCAGCATTATTACATTAGATGCAATTTTCTAGATGTAGATATTCCACATAGCTTTGTGTGCTGGCTCACTTTTATCAACAGGAACAGACCTTAAATAAGGACTGGCCAATCAGCTCCGTAGTCAGGATGGTCCTATCATCCCCCGGTAGGACTATAGATAACCAGTATTGTTGGGTGGCAGAGGAGGCTGTAGCAAGAAGGACCTGATGCTTAGCAGTTTGATGACAGTCATTTTTATTTGCAATGCTTTCTGCTCTTTAATCTACATGCAACTTTTAAGCTGTCCCCTACAGCTCACTCACACCACACAGCTCTCTCCTCCAGGCCCGGCGGCTACTGAAATAGGTAAGGTGTAGTTAGTGTGATGAATAACAGGTGAACCCACTGCTCAGAGGGTGAAAGGGCAGACCAGGAGGTAATAACGAACGGAGTCAGCCATCCACTGGATTTTCTCCAACTGGTGCCCCAGATGCTGTACCTCCCTCCATCCAACTGCACTTGTCTTCAGGTTGACTGTAAGCCCCATCTGCCTGAGGGACTCCAGGACCACAGCCACCCACTGCATATGCTCCACTCAGGTGTCACAGTGGATGAATAGAATAGAATAGCTTTATTGTCATTATATGACATAATGAAATCACAATTGCATGTCCCTTTAAAAATCCATATGAACCCTCACCCTCCCCCCTCCCAAAAAAAATGTAAAAGTAAGATGGCTGATGATGATCAAATCACCCAGATAGGCACCAGCATATGCACTGTGTGGATGCTGCACCCAGTCCATGAAGTGCTGGAAAGTGGCTGGGGCTCCAAACAAGCCGAACAAGTGTGATGAATTGATACAAATCATACAGAGTAGAGAAGGTCATCTTTT